ACCTTTGCAAATTACCAGGTCCTGGGCGACTGAGGAGCTCAACAGAAATACATTCTTATTTATTTTTTACCAAGCACAAGGCTATTTTTTTTCTTTATTATCTATATTGTGGCAATTACACTATTAGACTCACGAGAACATAGCAACTATGCAACACCGAGTCAAAAACATAATAAAATGGCTTTTAGGAAAGTAGTCTGTTATTTTTATTGTTTTTAAAAATCAAACCATCTGTAAGGCATTTACGTTGATGGTCATGATTAGTTTGAATGGCATACTGAAATGTTCGAACTATTTTATTACAGGCTAGTATCAAGATTTTGGAGAGGGGCAGCCATGACTTGTGAATTTTTGCTCTGCACAGCAGGGCTTGGCCTCAAACACACTGTCGTTTTCATACACCACAAGGGGATTTCTTTTCCATTCACCATTGGTGCGTTACTTGGCTAGATGTGGGATCGATAGATGTGTATATGCCACTGACAGGCCTATGGGGATGAATTATGCTCACATGGAGAAGGTAAAGGTGGGCTTTATCTGTCCATTTAAACAGCAGTAACATTGAGAGTTGGTTTGGACCTGAGAAAATCCAATTTAATTGCATTTTTTTTTCTCTTTACATCCCATTGGACCACTGGGAAGCACGAATGTGAACTGTGCCGATTAAACCATGCATTGTAAAGTTCAATCTGGGTGGGTCAAGTTGGAAACAACGAGGCTAACTAGCCATTTCCACATTTCATTACAACAATAGTCTGGCCTGTAAACTCACCAAATATTGTTTGTACGATTAGATGAAGTAAGATCTGCTTTTAAGCAAAAGAAACATTTCATACCCTTGCAAAACATGTTTCCTTGATCTTGATTCAAAATAGAATCTATGCGGCACACTGGCAAAGGCCACGCAGAGCCCCACAATTGATTAATTTTTCATTCAAGTTCTTTTAAAGGACCAAGGACAAGTGCAACATCAAATCTGATCAACGCTCAGCAACCCGTTAAATAGCTTGCCTGAAACAAGAAAAAACATGTTTTGGACTTGCCATATTTCTTGTTTTTTTTTTGTTTTTTTTTTTAAGGCCACCAGCCAAACTTGCCATATTTCTTGATTTTATTTTATTTTATTTTTTTATTTTTATTTTTTAAAGGTCCTTCATTAGCTCACTTGGCTCATGGATAACTATTTGATACGTGTTAAAGAGCAGGGGTCCCCAACCGCCGGTCCGCGGACCGGTACCGGTCCGCAGGGCATTTGGTACCAGGCCGCACAGAAAGAACTTGCCTTAT